TGCATTCATTCTCTATGTGGTCATGGGATGCCATTAAGAAAGTTTGGGATCATTACTACATATACATGCAAGTACGTTCTCTGAAACACGCATTTCCGGGCTTGCATGTAAACACTCAACCCTAAACCCTGATAACTCTAACCCCTGATAACCCTAAACCCCTAAACCCCTAAACCCTAGTAACCCTAAACCCCTAAACCCTAAACCCCGTAAACCCCACACCAAGTTCACAAGATTTTCTTATTTCTTTATATCATTTATCCAAATCTCACATAACTCACGCGGCCCACCCCTCCCTAAATCCCGCGATTACAGCTCCGCATTCTAACCACCCGGGGCGTCCGCACCTCCCACGACCGCTACAAGATCAGATCGGAGACGCCCGTCGCCCACGGAATACAGGAGTCGGTGGCCACCACTCGCCGCCCACCGCCAACATGATCTGAGGGCTCGGACGTCAGTGTTCTTCTCGCCGCCTCCTCCTCGCTTGAACGCGCCGTTTTTCCTTTGCACCATCGACCGCGCTATACCGGCACTTATAGTTTCCGACGCACTAACCGCCGCCATCTACTCGGTGGCACCATCTCCGAGATAAGGTATTAGATGATTGTAACTCTTTATAATCGTTGCCCGCCGATGCTTTAGTTGTTGAACCCTCATAGGTTTTGCACCCAAATAGGTTCTGTGCTTAAACCATAAGTGGATCATATGTTAAATGACCCAGTTAATTTTGTTAAAATTAATTCTCTGCTAATTTTGTTATACATTTTCCAATTTTGTTCAGATTAATTGAGCCTGATTTTATCAGTGCATATGAGGCAGCAATGTCAGTTTCAGATACAAACCTTAATAATGGAGAAAATCCCATCTCCGAAACTACCGATGCGGTAAGTAATTGACTGTTTGTGTACAATCGTTTCGTACACATAATTCATGTGTACTCAGTTTTATTTAATGGAATGTAACAGGAACTCGCCGAAAAGCATGGTCATATGAAGTTAGTATGCTCACAGACAAGGTTCGGAAAAACCATGAAACTGTTGTCAGAAGACCACAAAAAGTACATCATATCAGAAACCAGTCTTGGCGGACTAACCCAGATGCATGAAGTGACTCTACGTCGCATAATGTTGGTTAGACTAGCCAAGAGCATAGATATGGATACGAAATCCATTACCATCGGTAAAATGCCAATTCCTATAACAAAAGAGGACGTGCAAGGTATATTTGGCATTCCGATAGAAGGGGAGGATATAGAGCCACATCTAGAAAATCAAACCGACACAGAATTGTTTACCGCCTATGCAAACAATGGGCAAATTTTGATTTCTGACCTTGAAACGGCGATCCGAGCTTCCAAAGCCCCAGACGGTGATTTCCTGAGACGGTTCATTCTGTACGCAATTGGTACTGTTCTAGCACCAACAGCACAACATTATGTGGACTTGAAATATCTCAACCTTGTTACAGATCTTGAAAACCTTCGAAATTTAACTGGGGATGTTTCACACTTAATCACTTCTTCAAGTTCGTTCACAAGTTTAGAAATCAAGATCACGTAAATCTACAAGGAAATCTAATTCTGCTCCAGGTTAGTGCTAGATCACTACTTAATGTTCTTTAATTATTGTTCTGTTGCATATCTGTATGGTGATGAACTAATTTATTGTGTAGTATTGGTACTGGGAGCACGTGCGTAGTGGCCGATTAATGTATGCTTCTAGACCCCCTCCATTGATCACACGATGGGACGAAATGATGGCTACTATAAGAAGCGATGCTTACGAGAAAGGAGGTCTTCATAACGGGCTGGTACCTATCTAAAATTGAACTTTCTATATTCAATTTTTTATTTGGTACTAATGGTTCATTATATTTTTAAAAAATAGGCTGTCATGGAAATTTGTGCTCCTCAATGACCGTCCGAGAATTCTAATAATTTTCCAAGAAAAAAAGATGAACATGTGCATCAACATGATTCGTATCGAGCACCATCACAAGGACATCAATTTAGTAGCCAGCAAGTGTGTACTCCAAAGACTATTTGTTTTTGCAATATCACAAATAGGTGCCATGGAACCTCATTCATTTAGCTATTGTTATCAACGGGGTTTTATTTTGTTTACACATATTGAAATGGTAGTTGAAGTCATGAATGCACGCATTGCTGATCATGAAAAGAAGGTAGGAAGGAAGTTAATGGAAATTGAGCACAGATTTGATGTCAAATACTAGACTCTAGGTGAAGACTTGATCGACATGAAGACTAAAACTGGCACTAATCCTAGGTTGTCGAAGGCCGAGGACGAAATTAAAGACTTAAGGAGGGAACTCCATGTATGTCATAATGTGCATTTTGTATTTTTTATGAATATGTTCCTTCATGTTCATTATTGTTTGCATTGTTACAGGACTTAAAATACGAATTTACAAGGAACCGACAATCAGTGTCACAGAAAGGAGGCGTGCAGGTGATCAATATGGCCCAACATGTTAATATCTAAAAGTAACAAACTAATGATGAACTACCTTTGTTCATTGTAGGATCAAGTCAATGTGTGCAATTCATCCCTGATAGGAACTCCTAGGGCTAGCCAAGTCACGACAGGGACTTCGAGTACACCAAGTGCAAGACATGTGACGGAAAACAATGAGGAACCACAATTAACTCCGATGAAGCCTGTCTTTGGTAATGATTACAAGTTCACGCATGAGGACATAGAGACAGCCATTTACATCCGCGGAACATACGACCCTGTTGAAATAGCTAGAATCGGAGACATTACCCTCACAGCAGAAAATCTGAAGCGAAATTTGGATGACAAATACATTTATGGTGATGTAAGCCCATTATACTCTATTCTACATCATTACTGCAACAACTGTCTTATTATTGTATGATTGAAAATTTGGCAGGTTATTATGGCATATGCTAGCATTAGCCAAATTGAGAATGATACTACCTCAATCATATCCCCTCAAGAAACCGAAAAGCTGTTACAAATGAAGGGGTGGTTCCTGTTGGACGTGCAGCCTCATGGTTTGCTCGTGTAGCAGGAAAATTTGTAGGGCGCCGAAAGGTACACGTTTTCCACACTTTCATAGTTTACGTACACGACAACTTTCGGTTCTCAACCCAACCCGAATTTTACTGCAGGTGCATGTCCCACTGAATGTACACCAAAACCATTGGATGCTAATGATGTTTAATTTTGACAAAAAAGAAATTCAGACTCTGAACTCCATGAATTATCATTGCGACAAGACCAAGGAAGATTCTCTTGTAAGTGTTCTCTTGCTGCCTCTTTTGATCCACATGGAACATGAGCTCCCAAAGTACCGTAACCCTATGTATAACTTGGCGTACCCTAGGTGGACTCGATTCAGTTCTGCATTGACGAAGCTGTCAAGAAAGGGTTGATATCACCAGCTAAGAACATCAATTTTGCTGAATGGACCAAAAAACGCTATGAGAACATACCACAACAGACCGATGGGTAAGCATGGCCTCATAAATTATTATTTGCGTACACGAATAAGATTACTGATCTTTAACTAAACATCGCAGGACTTCCTGTGCGGTTTGGACACTGCAGTACATGTTGTCATGGAACGGGGATGAAATGACCGATATTTTGAACCAGGTAATTGAATGCCTAATTTATATTTGTACTTTGTTTAGCTTGAAAGCTATGCTGACGTCATTGTCGGTTATCCAATATAGGCAAGGATAGATATTTTCAGGTGGAAAATATGTACAGCCTTACTGCATTCAGATTGCAATGCGCTTCGTCTCGAATCATATAATTCCCCATAACGGTTAGCGCTACATCAAGAATATATCATTTATTTCACAAGTCTCATGATTAGAACTAACGCAGCACTCTCTCTTAAACAGAAGGAAGTGTACGATGCCCAGCAAGCAGCTCTACCTGATGCTTCAGAAGAGGACGTACAATTAGTCAACAATCCTGATGGTTCGAACGAACCTGACACATCCAACTCCCAGAAGGATACCGGTGCACCCAACTCCCCCGAAAATGGTGCACCCAACTCCCCCAAAAGGAAGAGACCACGTGGACGCCCGAGAAAGCAAGTCGATCCCGAGCAAACAGCAAAAACAAAGAGTCTTAAAGAACTAAAACATAAATTTGACAGCAAGACCATAGCCAACCAAGTGTCTTCGTTACCATCACAGTCACGCAGAGAGCATAAACCAGCACTAGCTTTATTGAGCCCATTCAAACACAAATAGGTAGCATCAATTGATCATTAATTGATACATGCTCATGCTCATGCTCTACTTTTAGCATCATTTGATACACGTTTTGTTTTTCTTATCAGAAAGTGGAAATAGGTGCTTCTGGCAATCATGAGCATCCTCTACTTATTGCAATATCTAATGCATTGATACATTCTCATGCCCATGCTCTATTTTTAGCATCATTTGATACACGTTGAGTTCTTATCAGAAAGTGGAAATAGGTACTTTTGGCAATCATGGGCATCCTCTACTTATTGCAATATCTAATGCATCATCAGTACAAAGCTTGATTTGGCAATAGGTGGAATCGGCAATCATTTGCATGCTTTAATTTTGTCAAAAATTAATGCATAGTTCAGTTGTAACTGCTCATAGATATGGCAGGAACATGCTGAGTTATACACTAAACATAGTCATGTCAAGCTATAACTACCATAGTCATATTATTAGAGTTCCTAGCATGCATCACCATATGGCAGAATAACACAGCAACCATAACATAGACCACCGTACGATACTTGAGTTGGTAAGGCCTTGTACAATGCAAGGTGCTTAGGGGAGTTGCTTATAGAAATAAACCAGGCTTTTCTTAAGCACAGGTGCTTATTTGTACAGGGTAGACGCATAACTAGGCGTCTTTCCTGTACAAATATGCACCAGTGCATCAAAAAAACCCTGTTTATTTTTCTAAGAACCACCCTAAGCATCTAGCATTGCACAAGGCTTAAACATACATCACCAAAATATTATTAACAACTAGGAACACTAAACCAGAGTAGCAGCAAATTCTTAACATAAACGGCAGATCAACCACCGCTCAGCATAGGTTCAGAAACATCATAGGACATCAGTTTTAGACTCCAACAACAAAGAAACATAGATAACATAAGAGGACACGGCGGTCCTAGGGCAGCATCAGCACTCTAGCAGCACATCACTTCTCTCCCTTCTTCAATGCATGTTGTACGGCTCATTGACTTTGACAATCTCAAGGAAGCGTGCGTAGGCAGCATGTTTAGCCAGAGTACTGGCACTACGATTCTTGCCATGTCCATTGCTAGTGTTGAAGGCATGCTGGATCATGCCATCTATGCCGCCACCGATCACCTTGCAACAGAAAGGGCACCCAATCTTGCCAAAGAAATGGTACTTAATCTTCCCAGCAATCAGATGCCTCAGGGTGTACCGGCTCTTGCTGTGCCTGCTGTCCATGTTGTAGTCCACGTCATCGTCATCCTCCTGTCAATTAGTGAATTAGTACACATAGAACAACTCAAGTGATATATTATGGTACATTGACTTTAATTACAATGTTTTGAAAGTACACATGTGAAACATGGAAACTATCTATTTGCTAGAAATAAGGCGTATGTGCACATACATAATTGAGCCAAATAAATTGACATGCACAATTATGGACGGTGGAATAGTTGCATTTATAGATTAGTGCACAAGTAGTACATAACTAACACATGAAAGACTACATGGAGTGGCTTGGTTTAATGATATTTGATACTTGTTACAGGTGTAATTCTTATTGGAATCAGAAAAATGTCTTCATTGTACTCCTCCATGTTTCACACAAGGGGGGTTTGTTCTATCTACTGGAATGAAGAAACAATTATTCTTTCTGACAGCGGCAATACTGCTTCTCCAACATTGTTAGACCCTGATAACTTTCAGAAGGAAATTGGTAAAGGAGCTATGGGGTGTCTCACTGCTCATATTGATGAGAGATGTGGCTGTGATCATCTAAATAAAATACTGTGGAAAATTGGGTAGATGAGATGTTTTGATTTTTCGGTATCCAGTGGATATGTAATGTCAGCCCATAATTATTAAGGGAGCAATCACTTCCTTTGCAAAATGGAAATCTGTATAGAATTTGCAAATGGATCATCTATGAACATGTGTGCAAACTAATCATCTATGAACATGTGTGCAAATTAATTCATGTACATAAACTATAATGAATCAGGAACTGCAGCATTTAGTCACTGTCCTAGGGAAGCCAATGGAGAATCCTGCCATATATCCATTGTTTAACCCACTTTTTTCATTAATGTATCCCTTCCATGAACATTTTCTTGTATTTGGGTTCATTACCCCACTTCTTTAATTAATGTATCCCTTGTGAAACTTATGCTCATCTAGTTAACAAGACTAACCCCAATGCCATGAAAAAAAACCAGAGTATCTGCTGGAATCAGAATGTGAATCAGATTTAAAAATCCACATCCAACATGAAGATCTATGCTAGATCCCTACAATCCTACATACGTACAACTAGAACGCCCA